CGAAATTCAAATATAGAGTCGAGTACACTGCGTACAGTAGCAACAGACATATAGCAACGGCTACCAGATTCTCTGACAAGAATCTGACATTATGATCGCTGGGCACATCGAAGCACTGTCTGATTTATACCGTCTTCCGCTTAGACTATCGTCCTTCTTTAGACAATCACGATTTCACGAGGGAATCTTAGGTTCGGACTGACCCATCTCCCCATGATCCCTGTATTCCTCCTTGTCATGACTCCTTGAATCCAAAAGTGCAGGGGCCGCAGGGCTTTCCCAAACGGTTACCATGGGCAGCGCTTTCCTGAACCGTTACCGTGGGCCGCACTTTCCTAAACGGTTACCATCGAACTCAACCAGCATCTGAATAAATGTGCCGTGATGACAAGGATTGTACCGCTCTCTTTGCACTACATTCCTTCTCCAACTCAACTCCGCTGCCCTCCCCTCCCCCCTCCTCTGTGTGTGTGTCTGTGTGCTGGGGAGCTAAGGGCCTCGTTAGACCCTCCTTGGAAAGTCCTCAGGAATTAGAATGAGGTCCTTGGAAAATTTTCCGGTTTTCGCGTCATCGTTACACCGCGTCCTAATTCAATGGGTCCCAAGGAAAACCCTTGGAGGTCTCCCGCGGCCAATTTCATGTGCATATACGCTGCCACGGGGCTTGATGTCCATCATCGCAGTGGGATGTCCGTGTGTCCTCAGGCGTGGTCCGGTGGCGGCGGCAGGGAGGCCTTCCAACTTGGGGGAAAAAAAGGGCGCGAACATCCCAGTTTGAATTTCGAATTTCGAACCCTTCGCTGAAACACATCCACGCCCAGGATGTCCAGACGGGTGCACCGGATTGAAACGTCTGGCGAGGAGTGGAGGCAGCCATCGCTTAATACACCCGTATTGGAATGCGGGCCGACACAGCGCGGACGGTGACGGTCTCGGAGTGCGACAACGGTCAAGAGTTACACATTCCTATTCGGGCCGTCGGCAACAATTGTGCGGGCCACCATAGCTGAGCGCGCACGTCAGGCCTCCGTGAGACGTGGGCAGTGCTGCTGCCATTCCCATCCAGTGGCATCCACGTGGAGACATCGGAGCGAGGGTGCCGGCAACTGAAACAGTGGTGGCCAGTTCTGCATTGCGCGTCGTGAAGATGGAGGGAGAGCTGCGGGGCGGTGCGAATGTGTTGACGGCTTTGGAGAGAAATGCGATGGTTGCAGCTGTGTCGGCAGTCGCCATGTGATATCGCATACAGAGAACGATAGCTCGCCTGAAGATGAGGCTGTCCACTCGCAGGCAACGCCAGCTCATGCAACAAGTGATGGAGGCGGCCGACTATGTGTCGTTATCGGAATCCATTGTGCAATTTTGCTGCGCCATGGCGCCAGGTGTGATCCCGCAGCCGACTCCAAGGAGGTGGATGAGGAGAAGGATGGGGGGGACATGGGAGGATCTCTGGAAGATGGACGACGCGGCAGACAGGTACTATAAGTAGAAGTTGAGGATGTCCCCTAGGGTGTTCCGGGAGATCGTGGAGGCGTTGTCCTCTCATCTGCAGTGGAGGGTATCATTCTACAGGGTGCCTTTGATGCCGGATCACATCATTGTGTACGCGCTTGATCGTTGGGCGAGCGGGGAGACGTACGAGAGCAGCACATCGTCATTCGGCATAGGACGCGCATCAGGCTTGATTGCGGTGGAGGACGTGACTCGGGCGCTTCTGAGGGTGCACTGGGAGAAGATCATTTGGCCTTCCGGGTTGCGGCGGGTGGTCGTTCTGCGCGCCTTTGAGGCCAAGGGTTTCCCCAACTGCTATGGCTGCATAGACTGCATGCACATATATGTCGACAAACCGGCGAACTCACCATCCGAGAACTACTTTGACCGGAAGCATCGTTTTTTGGTTGTTGTGCACGTGGTGGTGGACTTGGACTTGCGTGTGAAAGACGTGTTCGTCGGTTATCCCGGGAGCTGCCACGACATTTGAGTGCTTCAGCTTTCCAGTCTATGGGCGCGTGCGGAGGAGGGGGATCTTTTTCGTGGACTTGCCGTGGTGCTTCCGTTCGGGGTGAAGACACACGGGTACATCCTCGGGAATAACGGCTATCCTCCTATAGAGTGGATCGTCATGCCTTTATGTAGGGACTGATTAATTTGCCGACGAGGAGAGATTCGACAACAAGCAGAAGGTCGCCAGAGGAGCAGTGGAGAGAGCTTTCAAAAGATTGAAGGGGATGTGGAGGTTTTTCCTCCGCACACACAAAACGAATATGGACACTTTCCCGCAATAGTTCCAAGCAATGTGCATTCTGCACAACATCCTCCTCAATGCTGGCATAGACTTCGACAAGAACTTGTTGTGGGAAGTGGACGTTAGTGGGGTGCGCCGGCGAGTGGACTTGGGCTTGGATCCCCCACCCCACCCCATTGCGGAGAACTTCAATCGTCCCCGTGCGGTGGCCCTGCGCGAAGCGCTGGTGGAGCGCATGAAGCACGAGTGAACACG